AATTTATTTAGGATCCAGTAAAATTCTGGCTTTTAAATACGTAAACATAATCATTAACAATTACACAAAATGATGGGGATGGCTCAGTATTTATAAAACTCCATGCCTATATAAATTGTTGGAGGTAATCCTAAGCATAAAAATTAATGATAAATGCTTCCATGATATCTTCTTCACGACTCTAAGAACATGGATTGCTTTTCCCTAAAGATAAAAATACTCTTAACTTGGTATAAATAGTACACTTGAAGATTGGACTTCTAGAAATAAATGTTGAGATACAAAATTGAATTTTTCCTCCCTTACATCCTCACTATTTCACATGTGGTAATAAAATTTGTCACGGATATCATGGTAATCCATTAACATTGAGCATTTCCTATAAATTAACTGTCCATTTATTCCTGAGGTAAAAAGTATTTATGTAGTTTCAGATGCTTTGACAATCCAAAATAACAATTTTAATTAGAATTTGCACTACTAAGTTCTCTTTCTTTTTCTCAAGTTTGCCACTTATTTGGAAAAAGATTCTTAAACAACACGCATGAAGTGTGTGTCATAATGATTACCTGACTTACTAGTCAAAACCACATTGAATATGATATATATCATCCAATTAATTAAATTAACATAAAAATATCAGAAATTTGTCATTATTTTCCTTATTTGAAATAAATATATAATATTCTTAGCTTCTTAAAAATCCAAAGTTGACCCTGGTCTTCCACCAACAACCTTAGAGAGAATATAAAAGTACATTCTTAATCCAGCAACAAATGCAAAAAAAAAATAATTGGAAATTATTATGCTTTCTACTCAGATGCAGATAATCTTATAGAATCACATAATTAAGTATACAAATGATCAAAAAGTACCTTTCTCCAAATTTAGGACACTGAAAAATTTTTAAATACATTCTATAACCCTATTTGTTATACAGGTTTTTTTAAATCAAGAATTTTCACTTAGTCTGCCTTCTCACTAATCTAAACTCCAGTACATACACAGTTAAGTACTATCTGGTAATTTCATCAAGTCTCAGACTTCTATTCTTTAAAGATTTTTTAATCACTATCACAGTCTCACTCAGAAAAAATTGTGAATACCCTAAGGATATTATTAGGTTTTTATGAGAGTATTCAGCTAACAACTTTCTATGCCTTAGTTTCTTCATTTACCAAGTGAGAAGGCAGAATCGATTAGCAATTTCTATCCTGTTTAGCACTAGCATTCTCTTTTTAAAAAATTCATCTAAACATCTTCTTTTCATTTAAAAACTCAGCTTTTTATTACACACTCTCTACTAAGCTTAATTTGAGTCCTTGTTATCATTAAATAGGCAGCGACTCAACAAATTAGCCATAGTAAAGAGAATTTACTTCAGAGAGAATATTTTTAGAAAGGTGACTATTTATTCATTTTTGTCAGATAGAAATCCAACACACAAATTTGAAAAGAGGTGATGTATGACTCACTGTACTTTATTGATAACGTTACTTGTGCACCAATGTGGTCCTTCTATTTCAGTCACAAATTGAGAGAGAGATAGAATCTAAAATGTGTAATTCATTTATAAGTAATCATACTACATAAATACATTTCTCATTTTGCAACTTCATCATTTTGTTTAAAAGTATGCAGATACCTTTTAGAGAGTAACTTTTATAAAGTAGCCCCTCAGTACTAACTGTGAAACAAATTATCACTTTAAGATATTAATAAACTTAATTTCAAAACTAATAGGCAACTAAGTGAAAGAATCTATAGTAAACTGATTATATATGTGCCACCCAAACTGAGGCTATGTGTACAAAGCCCACAGGAAGGTGTTTCTCATGAGCAACTTATTATTCTTCATTGTTTCCCTCCTACAGACTTTGTCAATTTTGAATTTAAAAAACGGAAAGACACAGTATTAATAATCTTAGGAAACACTTCATTTGTTATCAGAAGCATATCTGGTCTTTTAACTGATTTCTGATTAAATGACCAAAGGGACAGATTTGATCACTTTGAAAGGTTGGATTAGCACATACTCTGGAAGCCAGCACCATTTCACCTGCTGATCCCGGGCACTCAAAACAACACTCCTGCAGGGCTTACTACAGATTGCTGACTAGCTTACAAAGTTCCTCCCAAAACCGAGCAATAATTTGCAAGACACAGTACTGGCTTAACTGGCGAAGGCTGAATATCATTTTAATTAATAAAAGGACAATTCAATTAGATGCTATTTTTCTTAATTTTCAATTATAGCTAACTTTTACTTAAACTATTACTAAAATCACTTATATAAAACCATCTATTTTAACAGGATCATAGTGTAGTCACGATACATTCCAGGTAAATCCCAGGTGCTATGTGTAGTCCTATGTTTGGACTAACTGCCAAACAAACAAAAATCTATAAATTCCTGAGGTAAATCATTTATGTTAACCATTGGCAAATATACAAAACATAAAACTGAAGTTAATGTAATTAAATATTTATAAAAATTACACCTAAACTTTTTATTCTAAATCATAGTAAAAGTTGAAAAATGTTTAAAAAGTACAGTAAATACTTACAAATTATAGTTTGAATTTTCAAAGTACAATATGATTGTGTTGTCATAAATCTTTATATTTACATCTAAGAACTTTTCTCTGTATTATATTCTTTAGAGTCTAACTTTATTATTAATCCTGAAATTTTTAAGGCTTTAATGTTTTAATTTTATATGAAAATAGGCTCTATCTTAAATTATCTTTGGGTTTAGCAACCAAATCATACCACTGCACCTCAGTGAAATCAACATCATATTATCATGCTGGGATATAATACCTTTATTTAGAAACTGATATAATATACCACTCATTACTTCAACTACAAATCTAAAGGCTAGTATTAGAACTGGACACTGGGTTTGTTTTTCCCTCATGTGGTGATTCACGCCTTGAAAGCCAGTGTTCTTGTTTTAAGCACTAATACACTATTATTTCCTATTTGAAGTTTATTAGGAGACAGAAATGTCTACAAAAGTAGGTTTAAATAAACATGTGGCCTCCCATTAAGCAAGAAGCACCAAAGCAACTTGATAAAACAAATACCCAAATCTTACAATACTCGCATATCTAAACTATCGTATGACTTTCAAAACTTTTCATCAGAAAAAACAAGCAGAAACCCAACAACAACTGATCCTTACACTTTGCTATTTCTCATATCACTTGGCTTTATAACAACAGCCAAAGTTATTTTTTCACCATTTTTTGATGCAGTACTGAGATGTTTATTTAGAAGTGTTTCAAGTACGTAGCTAGATTGAAAATAGAACATTATTCGTTAGAAATGTAGAAATTTAATTTTTTATATTCTTAGAGCTTTACGGAAAGGTCCAATATGGAAAAGAAACATAAATATCTTCAGCAAAATAATCCCTGAATTCATACAATGGTGTCACTTGAGCTTATATTTCATCTGTCACTGAAAAAAAAAAATCTGTTTCTGTATTTTTAAATAAATAGCCGCCATTACAATGCTCTTGTCTATGTGAGTGTGCCTGTGACATGCTGAAAAAGAAACGGTATATCCATCCTTCCCTCATCAAGTGTCTCTTTCCAGTATCACCCTAGTTAGAGGGACATTTAAGAGGCCCCATGCACTATTTGCAGAAGCCTGAATCCCAAATAATAAATAAAACCAGCAGAGGGCAGAACTGCTGACAGAATTGAGCGATCCAACCGGTGACCAGGTACCAAAGGTAAAACGCAAACTCTCTGATGGACCCACTCTCCAAGACTTTCTTATTTATCCTTGAAAATGTGAGAATGAACGACTCAACGTCATTAACACAGCTCATTTCGAAATTCAAATACGGTCCTCATGAAGGTCCTCTGACTGTATTCACCAGGAAAAATCACCGGAGGAATTGCCTAGCAGCGCTGCCTGCTACTCTGGAAGGCGAAAGCCACTAAGCGAGTGGAGGGGACACACACCTGGTCGCAGAGGGCGGCCTCTGGGAGGACCAACTCCCATTAGAGAACTCGGACCTTGGCATCTAGACCCTGGGCCAGACTCAGGTTTCTGCTAAAGCCGGCGCCTGTGGGAGGGACAGGTTTTTTTCTCCCATAGCCTGTCTTCCCCACCCACCCCCGTCCTGTCCCCCCAGCTTCTCTCTGCACTCCCGACGAAGCTCGCTTTCTACTCCAAGTTGCCTGGGCTCCCTGCACCCCAAGGGCGTCCGCCTGCCAGCCGTGTCTACAGCACCTAACGGACCGCTCCGGCCGGACGCCTTTTCGGGAAAGGGCGGGGGAAGAGGAGGGAGGAGGCGGAGGGGAGGGGAGAAGTCGCTCTCCCTCCCCGGGTACTGACAGGGCTGCAGACTTCCAAGCAGGTCTGGTCATTGAATATTTGGTGGTGCCACGTAGGAACTTTCCTTACCTCTCTCCTCCCGCCCCACCCCTCGCCCCCTCCCCTTCCCTCCCAAACCCTATTCCTCCGCCCCCACCCCATTTGCTGGGCGGCTTTCATCATTCTCCAAGTGAACTGCACGTCCAACCTGCAAGAAGAAATGGGGAGGAGGGGGCGACTCGTAGAGGAGAGGAGGGGACTAAACTTCACGGGAAGGTGTTCTCCCTACCTTGAACACTTTCCTAATAATCTGACAATTTCTGTCCACTTAAAACTGCTTAAAAAGCCAAACCCCCTCCCCGCCCCCCCCCCACACACACAAAGTGTTCTTAATCGTCTAGATTCATCCCCCTGGTTTCTCTTATATCCCCAAAAGTAAAACAGCCTGTTTCTCACTTTGTTGCAGACAAAGAACTTTATCAAGGTTCATTTTATACCCTTTCTCTATATTTTCTCCTCAGCTCACCCTTAAAAAGATATTCCCATTAGTTGGAACCAGAAGAAACCAGAAGATGTGTTCAAAGGGCAGTCTGAGGACTGTTCCTCAGACAAAAGCTTTGTACAACTGCCCTTGTGTTCAAGGTAATATTTTTCCTCTTTTCAAAGAGGCTGAAAAGTGGTGAAGGGCATTTTCAGCAGGCTCTGTGCCTGACAGATCTTTTTTTCCCTGCTACCTACCTCCTCTCCCATTACTGTCCCGCCTACATCCATCTCTCTCTGTCTCTCTCCAGTTTCCACTTCCAACCTGGTAGCAGCTACAATCTGGATTTTATTTAAGGGAATTTCCCCCCCCTTGGGGGGCGGGGAGGAAGAGTAAAGAGGGGGAGGGGCGCAGGAGGAGAAAGACCGACGGCAATCTCCCACCACCCCAAATCCTTTTTTTTTTTTTTTCCTTACCTCCTCTGACCTCTCTAGCTTGGAAGAGGAAAGTCAATGCGAGGGTTGTTACGGTGAAATCCCAGAGCCACCGTTTCGTTTTCCACCTAGAGGACCACGGCTCCATCTCCGAGCCCCGCACTCACAACTGTGAACTCAACCCACGAAATTGCGATTGCAGACCAACTTCGTCCCTTCCGAGGTACCGCCGGGGGCGTTTGCTACACAGCCATTGGGGAGGGCGAGGGGGGAAAGTCAAGGGGCTTTTTCTTTTGAATGTGATGGTTTCCTTCCTTCCTGTCTGTCGCCCCCTCCTCTCCCTGTCGCTTGGCCCCGCCGGCTGGGACCCTCCGATCCGTCCTCCGCAGGGCCCTGCCTTCAGACTGAAGGCAGAAGAGGGGCTTCGGCCAACAAGCGGAGAGCACAGCGTGCCCCTAAAGGCTTCATGCCGTCAGTGGGCCGGACGAGAGGCTCCGGGCAGCCCCCTCCCCCGCCCACTCCCCTCCCCGCGCCGCTCCCCCCACCCGCGGGCCGAAACTGACAAGCCGGCGGAGGGTCGGGCCCAATCACCTCCTCCCGGGCGGCCCCGAGCCCGCCCCTCTCCCTCCGCCGGGGAACCGGGACTCCCGGCAGGCCCAGCCCACCGTCCACCCCCCACCTCCCTACTCCTCTCCTCCCGCCTCCCCTGCCCAAGTCCCGGGGAAGAAGTGGGAGGGAGTTGCGCGGGACGCGTGCTTGGCTCCGGCGCTTTGGGAATGAAAGGAATTGCAGGAGAGCCCCGGAGCGCACGGAGTTTTCAAGGAGCTTCTGTACTTAATAAAAACAGCTACTTGTCTGCTTGCGCTCGTCTGTTAGCCTCTTGTTCGTCGGCGGGGGAGGGGAGGAGCCCAGCGTCTGATCTGCCACACCGCTGGAGTCCTGGGCTGGCAGCCGTAACCTTATCCCTGTGCAAAAATCTGCCTCGTATGGCAGACGTGGAACCAGCGGACTTCTCGCGCTGCCTACTCCGAAAAGTATTTTTATTCTCTTTTAACGTGATAATTAGAAGAAAGGAAGGAAAGGGGCACGGAAGGACCCTGGAGGTCAAAACGCATGAGTTTGTAGGGAGGCTCTTCCTGGGAGAGGTTTCTCTGTTCAATGTTTAAATTCAGCAGTAGGTTCATTCAGGGGCTTGCCTCTCACAGAGCTGAACTGTACTCTGAGGGCGGAGGAGAAAGAAATGTATGGGAGCTGACATTAAGGGGGTGAGTAATTTAATTTTAACAGCTGATTCTACCCTAATCCTGGATGAGGGAGGCAAAGGAGGGAGGAGAAGAGGCAAAGGAAAGCAGCTAGCAGAAACCTCCAAGCCGCTAGGCCCACAGCCCTGACCCTGAGACCCAAGAGCTGAAAGTGTGGTCGCTCCCCAGTGAAAGTAATGAGGAGAAGCAAGTTTCTAAATTCCCTCTCTACTTACCTACCATCCTCAAAGTAATCCTCTTAAACCTGGAATATAGATTCCCAGGTCATTTTTCCACGTTAAAATTATTCCATCCTATTGACTCTTTTGTGTTCCTTAATATTTCCAATGATGTTTCCCTCAAAGGCTTTCTGGAACAGTGCCCAACAGGGTGCCAGCAAACATTAGCCACTCAGTAGAGAGATATTGAGTGAATGAATACATTTTTCTGTTGACAAAGACTGGAAGCATAGGCCAGGGCCTACTTTGAATATTTAAGACACTTAAATGCTTAGGGGTCCCCAACCAAGTATATATTAGGAACATATATTCAATGCTATAGCTGCCACTAATCTTTAGGAGCCCAGTTTTCTATTTGTCATCAAAACATGCCTCATGATCCAGTAGATTATATGATATCTTCTTTTCATGTGTCTTAAGAGTTAGAAGAAAGGTGATCAGAGACTAGATTTAGCCCCAAGATGGAATTGTTTAATAACATCAATAGAGGCATGTAAAATTGGAAATGCAAGTAGAAAATGCCTTCAATATGAATATTACTTTCTAGGACAAAGAACCACCTTCTCATCAAGTTTATCTATTAGATTACAATAAAGGTACAAGAAATACTTTATATTTGTAATGCTGCTGGCAGAAAGTTTGGGATGCCTTAAATCAGTTGCAGAGAATTATCACTAACTAGCTCTTCAGATTACAACCTCAAATTGTAACATAATTTAATAAAATAACTTAATATCATGTTGCATTTGCACCTGGATTGTACAATTACAAAATAAAAACCTTACAGTGGAAATATGGGTAAATTTACTAACTTTGTTATCCTTCATCTTCTCACAAATAAAAAATTTGTACGTCTTTGTCGTTCCCCAACTTTTTTAAAATGTGAATTTTCTGTCCAATTCTTTGTATATTTTAAAAATTATTTTCTGGGTCTCTTCTTAAATGTAAAATAGTGAAGTGAATACAAGCTTAGAAATACACATTTGTAAGGCTGCCAGAATCCTAAATCAATTCAATAGCTAGAGAGAGTTACTGTGCTTGCAGCAACATGTAGAAATGGTGTTCCAAATTGTTTCTTCATAACTCTCCTGATTTATTAAGAGTTCCAAGACCTGATACTCTTCTGGAAGGTGAGAAATGATGCAGTCAATCTCGCAGACCCTACTTTCTGGTCACATCTCAGACCTTCTCACTTCTGTGAAAGGGTCCTTTCAGGCAAAGTATCTTGGGTAAATAGAGTTATTGCTACCTTATGCTCTCTGTACTCTGTGGTCTGAATTCCTCTGGCCACTGCCCAGCTAGGCATAACCTGGTCTGAATTAATACCTCTGGAAGGAAACATAGTAGATTCATGGTGAGGAATAATTACGTCTAACACTTCCATCCTGGAGCTAGCTGCCAGATCTAGAACCTCCCGGGAACCTGCCCATGGATCTACAGGAGATGAACTCAATGAAACGAATGATAATACTAAACAACAAAAGGGAGCAGAGGAAAGCCAAAAGAAATCCACCTTGGCAACCTTCAGCTTTCCACTGGGGGAACTTCCAGTGCCATTATTGCCTGGACCACCTTTCAGCCAGTCTTTGCCAATTGTTTATACATAGATTCAAAATGTAATAAAATATGACAATTTTCCTGACATAAGTCTTCAGTTTAAAGCACAATTAGTGATATTTCTTTATTTTGTCACACTAAAAAACAATGTTTAAAGATATTTTTCCAACTTTGTAAAATTAGTTCTAATTTACAAACCTTTCAAACACAAGGTGGTAAAATCGGACCAGGTGCAGTAGCTCATGCTTATAATCCTAGCACTCTGGAAGGCCAAGACAGGAAGACATGATTTTTCGAGCTCAGAAGTTAGAGACCAGCCTGAGCAAAAAGCTACCCTATCACTACTGAAAATAAAAAAAATGAGCCAGGCATTGTGGCAAGCACCTGTAGTCCAAGCTACTCGCAAGGCTGAGTCAAGCAGATCACTTGAGTCCAGGAGTTTGAGGTTGCAGTGAGCTATGATGAAGGTACTGCATTCTACCAAGGGCAACAGAGGAAGGAAAAAAGGAAGGGAAGGGAAGGGAGGAAGGGAAGGGAAGGGAAGGGGAGGGGAGGGGAGGGCAGGGGAGGGGAGGTGAGGGGAGGGTCACTTCTTTTGTAGCAATCTTTTATATTAACAAAATATCCATATTGGCTTGTCAGAGAAACTGAGATAATAATTTGACAATTGATTGAGAGGTCAAATTAGGAACACTTAAATGTTCTAAACAATCTTCAGTGTTCATGGAGCTTTATTAAATATTGTTTGAAAAGTTCATAGATTCCCCTTAATATCTTCACAAATCTCTAGGAACCAGGAGATCCAGATTCAAAATCGATGTTTGAAATATTGAGACCTCAATAACCAAAGGGAGACTGAAGACACCTTGTCCATAGCTAAATGCCCCTAATACAAACAGCATTAGAATATCAACTGAATGAACTTTATAATAGTCCTTAAGTTATTATGGGTAGAATTAGGGGAAAGAAGAAGTAGATTATATAGCAAGATTTTAGAAATGATGTATCATCTTTTAAATCATTTGGCATTTATTCTCCGTTTCTCATGTTTTATCCTTCCTATTTTTGATATAGATAGGTATTAGGTATAAGAGATATAAATTAGACATTTTCTCTAAACACTTTACTATAATTAGTGCACCAAATTTTATTTACTAAATGAGAAGTTATGGGGGAGAGGACTCTTGTACACACCAGAAATACTTAAAACATTTAAAAGAAAATTGCTTTTGAATGTAATCCCTCTCTTACTGTGCCTAATGGTTTGCCTTTCTTGCCCTTTTCTGAACTTTAGGTCAATTATTTTAAGAAGGAAATGACTAAGCAGTTTGACATTCATTTTACAGTTTTTCTAATACATGAGTGGCTAAAAATTAGTCTCTGTTTAAAAGTGGAGTTAGTCCCTCTTACCTCACAGATGGACCATTGTGTTGTAGAAAGTGTGGGTGGAGAGGGGCAGAGAAGTTTATTTCCATAGTCTAGCCTAGCTCACAAGAACCTCACAGTGATTGCAGGGTAATTTTTGGCAACTTTACTCTGACATAACTTACAGAACTTCAGAGGAATCCAAATTTAACCCAGCTTCCATGATACAACAAAATCTTCAGATGAAAATTTTGTTCTGTTGGAGTATTGAAAGAGCCAACTCAGAGATGATAGACCCACCTGTTTAAATGAACCTAAAATAAAATAAAATCTAAATAAAACCCTAATAAACAAGGAATATGGAATTACATGTTCATGTATATGTCTCTTAAAATTATCCTTTAATTAGCTATACTCACAGGAAGCTATCAGAGCTCCTTTTCATAATTGTCCAATCAAACATAGAAGAGAGAAACAGAGAATAGAATGATTCAGGATAAAAACTTCAATATTTTTTGGACTTTTGTCAAGATATCTTTACTCTCTGTATCCTTTTTTGTTTTTCCTTAATTGAGTGGGTTTGGTATTTACTAAGCTCTTGGGATATCCTGAAAATATGTGTGTCAGCAAAAATATAACAAGACTTTTTACAAAGTAGTATAGAACAGCACCAACAACTCTATCAGTAGAGGTAGAGGAATGGATTTTAAATATTTCAGTGAACCACATACCATAGTTAAAGGAAGTAATTTACTGCTAATATATAACCACGGTGTTTTACTGTATATAGTATACCAGCATCACTTGAGTAGTATTGTCTTGACTCACACTGGCAATTTCTAGCAAAATAAGGTTTGAAGTAGGGACTTTATCATTTTTAAAGGGAAAATTTATGCTTAAGAATTTACTCATAACAATTTCATAATTTCTTAAAATTTAATTTTGGTAATTAAATGAAAATATACAACTAATTTTCCTTTGACACTATTTCATAACTAATAAAATATAAGATGACAAGTATACCATTACACTTTTAAAAATAAGTAGCATCCTCTCTTCCACTTCTATC